ACCTCATCCTCAAAGGCGTCTCTGCTCAACTCCCGAAAATTGGCATCTAACCAATTTAACAGTATCCTACCTTCGATAAAATTTTCCAGGACACGTCCTAGACTATCCCGACACAAAGTAGTCCAAGAACCGGAAGCTATCCCCGATATCACACCTCCATCCACCAGAAGCCCCAGGTGCATAGAAACATCCTCAAGCGTGATCGTGCACTCTCCGCACGGAAGAGGGAATGTGTGGGTCTCCGGCCTCCACCGCTCTACTAAGGCAGAAATCAGGTCTGGCTCTATATTATAGTAACCCTGATATCTACCTATGTAACCGAATCCAGCCTCTACTAAATATGGCAAGACATGGCTAGGTATCACTAACTTAAGATTCCTAATAAAATGATCTAATTCACGGTCCTTCTCCTAAAAATAAATAATTACAAAAATTAATTCTTAATATAATAATCATGCATTAAATAAATCAACTAATTATTACTATTAATTTAAATTAAATTAAAACGTTAAAATGTTACCGTATCAGCAAAGTGTAGAGATATATGATTTCCATCCGAGTGAAGTAGACTGCCTTCCATTATATATCTGCAAAAGAATTATATTAGTAAAATATTAAATAAAGTAAATACATAATAGTAAAAATATTATAAAATATACCTTAAAATGATAGAGTATTTGAGAGAAATTTAGAGAATTTGAGAGAATTTGGTGTGATAAAAGTGATTGAGGATGGGGGTATTTATAGGGAGGATGGGGACGTGTAGGGTTGGGTATTTTGGGGTATAGCGCGCCCCCTGCACCGCGCTATACCCCACCTGTCAGATACCCAGGTATAGCGCGAATCAGGGGGCGTTATACCCACGTGGCGCCATATCACCGTATATCGCGGGGCAGGGGCGCGCTATACCCATGTGGCACCAAATCAGCGTATAGCGCGATTCAGGGGGCGTGCTTTACTGCTACGGGTGTTAGATCGGGAAATATAATATGACCGGTGTTAGATCGGTAAATATACCAATCACCGGTGATTTATCGGGAAAATTACCCTTTTTAATGGTGGATGGTGCACGACGACTGTGTTCAGAGATGAATATGAGCCATTGGATTTTACTGATTATCAGATTGGATTTTGTCGTTGGGAATAAGTAGGGCCCAAGGCCCATTCGTCCTTTTTGCTGTTTTTCTTTTTTGTGAAAATAAAAGCTACTAATTTGTGGAAGAAAATAAAATAACAAGGCATTTGGCTGTCATGCAAGCATTTTGGACCCACTTTATAAATAACTGTATCTGATTTTTTTCTTAAAAAGTTAAATAAATATAAATATTATACATATCTACCAAAAGTTTAGGATTATTATGAATAATTCTACGGCACATATCAAACACCGTAACGTATTACTAAAGCGACGTATCGAAATATACTAAAAGTAAATTTGTTCTTATTGTGTAAATATCAAAAAATATAAGGATTTATTTAAAATTAATAATTTATTAAAATTAAATTTTACAATGATACGGACGCTCATCGATTCTGATGGTGACGTTTATTGTGACTCGTCAATCGAAAACACTGCTACGGCTACAAACGTTACGCCAATGGGGATTACTACGAATGATCATGGAAGAAAAACCCACAAGACGGGCACGACAATTACGTTTGCAGTAATGGGAATGACTACATCGGCGAACAAAAAAATGACTCATCTCTAGCTGCGAAACCTTGATTTAGGATAATGCGAAAATAGAGTTCCAATGGGAAACAAGGTTGTCACCTGGCAAGACAAGAGTTGTTATATCAGACCATGAAACGAAGATAATATGCAGAAATTCAACAGTTAAACGACGACAAAGAGCATTGCGTTAAAGGAGGGGAGAATTTGGTTGTTATACAGAGGCAAAGATCGTCCGTTGATGAAATGGGGAGCATTTGCTCAGGGGAATGAATCAACTTCGTGAGGATTTGTACATGGAAAAGTGACGGTGAAGCAGGGGATATTACTTGCGATATATTCGATAATCTCAAGGCTTCGTTGATTGTTAGCAGTATACTTAGAAGCTTCGTGAAGATGAAGCTGTTATAACAACTAAGGTTATTAGCAAGTTAGTTTTGGTTAGTTGCTCAGTTAAGGTGGTTGTATTAGCAGCTGATACAACTAAGAGTAGTAGTATATAAGGAGCACCAATCTTGTACTCAAATACATGTTTCTCATAATAATAATATTCAATATATATTCTTCTATTTACCTCACTTCCAACATGGTTTCATTCGCCCTGATTTTATATTTTTTTCTTCTGCTGCATGGAAGTGGAGGAGAATATGCCATCGGTAACGGCTGCCTCCGCCATCATCTCAGTCGAGTCCATAGTCCAGCCTACCACAGTTCAGAAGAAATGATGGGGAAGCTGCTGGAGCTTTTACTGGTGTTTTCGAATCTCGTAAGAACAGTAAGCGAATTGGCCATGCTATCCTTGTCCCTGAACCAGTGGCACCTAGAGCTGCAGTTTCAACTGCTGAAAATGTAAGCAATCTGACTGGCATTGTAATGCCCTTTATCGCCCCTCCCTCATCTCCTGTATCATTCCTGCAATTGGATCCTCCATCTGCCACCCAATAACCGGCTGGATTGCTATCCCTAACTACCTTTTTCGTTAACATCTACTCTCCTTGTGGACCTGTATCTATTTTTTCCATAGGCCCTTATGCACATGAAACCCTGTTAGTCACACCACCTGTATTCTCTACTTTGACAACTGAACCATCCACAACTCTTTTTACACCCCTTCTAGAATCTGTGAAGAAATTGTTTGTGGAGCGAACATGAAACTATGGGATTCTGGAGCAGAAACTGTTTGTGGAGCGAACAGGAAACTATGGGATTCCGAAGCTGGAAAGGGTTTACAGTCGTATAATGAAAGGCATTTTTGAAAGTAAGGAGAAAGTTTTAGGGAAGATGTTGAACAGGATCTAATTTCTATAATGGTGCCAATAGCAAGGCCATCACCGTTATTTCTGCAACGTAGTATAGTTCTTTTGTGTGTGTAAACAAAAGTTTAATTTTGTATTCATTTTGTTGCTTCTATCTCAAAGTGTCATGGGACTTGAAAGCTTCACAGCCAAGAGTCCATAAAAAAAATATGTCAAGGAACCTTGTGAAAGAGGGTGAAGAAGAAAGAAATGAAGGTGAATAAGAAGAATGAAAGGAAGCATCAGCACTTTCGATTCAAAGTGAACGGAAGGAGGCATAGGCACTTTCGATTCAAGAAGAACGGAAGAAAGCATCAGCACTTTTGATTCAAGTGAACGGAAGGAAGCATCAGCACTTTCGATTCAATTGTTCATTTTTTCATCAAGAAGGTTGAATGTTAGAAATTAGTTGTAATTAGTTTTTTCATCAAGCAACTTTTGAAATGTTTCGTGACAATATTGGAGTGCAAGTCTGTTCACGATCAGAAGAGGAGGAGAAGAAGTAGTAGAGGGAATGTTAGCAGTATAACTTAGAAGCTTCCTGAAGATGAAGCTGTTATAACATCTAAGGTTGTTAGCAAGTTAGTTTTGGTTAGTTGTTCAGTTAAGGTGGTTGTATTAGCAGCTGATACAACTAAGAGTAGTATATAAGGAGCACCAATCTTGTACTCAAATACATGTTTCACATAATAGCAATATTCAGTCTATATTCTTCTGTTTACCTCGCTTCCAACATTGATTTATAATGATGGGCTTAAGCAATTAGAAGAAATACTTGTTGGTTTAGTAATGAAATTAAGATGCATGGAGAAATGATTTCGAAAGGCCATAACAATTGAGTTAATGCTTAATTTGCAGCTAGGAATTAGATGAACAATATTGATTTTTTGGTGATAAATTTGTTTTTGATGTTTGGACTTAAGAGATTTATTTAATTTTTAATAAAAAAATTATAATTTTAATAAATGATTAGTTTTAAATAAATCATTATACTTTTTAATATTTACATAATAAGGACAAATTTACTTGTGGTGTGTTTCGATACGTCGCTTTAATGGTGTATTGCGGTGTGTGACATGCGATGTAGAATTTTTTAGATTACTTTTATATATTTATATATAAATAATAAATTTGTTGTATAAAAATTAAATCCCATATCTTAATAAATTAATATTGTTTTAATCTCTTTATATTTTCACGCCCTTAGAACTTCAACGCCTCGAACATGCGGCCTTAGTCGCCTTCTCTATGATAGCGGCTAAGTCAGCCTGAAATCAACCCAAGCAAAGGTGCTTAGTAACAACGGAAGCAAAGAACAATAGAACTAGAACAAAAGCAAGACAAGATATCTTTGAGAGAATGCTTTGTCATTTCTCAAAATGAAGAAGTGAGTTCAAATGAGGAGCAGAGACCTCTATTTATAGTGGAAGCTCTCATCAATGAACGACTAAGATCTAAGTACATCGATGGCCTAGATTGAATACAATCTCCTAAATCCCACCAATCAAGGGATTTTGATTACAAAATCTTCTTTTAACTAAGGAAACTCTATCAAGCTAGTTATATGTTACCTTAGATAAAAGATTACAAAGTTTATGGAAAGAATCATCAGGATTTTGCATTAAATCAATGATTCTTCTGCCATAAACGTGCAAGGCTCTTCATCTCTATGGAATGGGCTAGTCTTCATGGGTCCAGGAAGGTCCAAAACGCCACTTAAGTAATCATGGGCTAGTTCTCGGGTGCTGACCTTAGTTGTGGGCTCGCGGTCCGTGACACTCTCCCCCACTGGTTCCGGTGGCACCCTCGTCACTCGTCTGGCATGAAACTGGTCTATCATGGTCTTGAATTGCCAAAGTCCCTCGGCATGCTCCCAACTTCCTTCACACTCGAACAAAGTACTCATGCCTCGGGCAGTGTCCTGGTCGTCGAATAACTCTCTCCGCATATATTTCTTGAATCTCCTTGTCATAGGAGACCGTTACTCTGATTGGCGCCCGGTATGACTTGCCTCGATCTGGATCCTCTACATCCTAATAGTACGGCTTGAATAGACTAACATAGATCACGGGATGCGCTCGGATGGTTGGAGGTAACTCCAACTTGTAGGCCATGGTGCCTACCCACTTCACAACTCGAAACGAACCCTCGTACCTTCGTACAAGCCCCTTGTGCACATCTGCGTTGCGCAAAACATTGGCCAATTTCGCAAGGAAAAGATTGCCAACTTCAAAGTTCACGTCCCTACGCTTTTGGTCGGCCCACTTCTTGGTCCGCTTCCTCGCCTTGTGCAAACAAGCTCGGGCTAAATCATGTTTCTCATGCCACTCCTTGGCAACCTTGTGTGCTGACGGATTTGGTCCCTCATACTTGGTAACAACTGTGTTGGGTGTCAATGGTTATTGCTCGGTCATGATCTCGAACGGACTCTGGTTTGTCACCTATCTCTATTGTAAGTTGTATGAAAATTAGGCCAAATCCAACAACTTCAGCCAGTCACGTTGGTTGGCTCTCACATAGTGCCTCAGGTAAATCTCCAATAGAGTATTCATTCACTCAATTTGCCCGTCCGTTATTGATGAACTGTGGTGGAAAAGTTCAAGCTCGATCCCATCAGCTTGAACAACTCCGTCCAGAACCTTCCTATGAACCGTGTATCCTGATTACTAATGATGGTTTTCGGCATCCTCCAAAACTTCACCACATGCTTGAGGAAAAGTCGATCCGCCTCCACTACTGGACACACCTTAGACGTCGAAATGAACGTCACATACTTCGAAAACCTGTCAACCACAACCATTATACTCAAAAGTCCATCAGTCTTGGGCAAACCAATGATAAAATTCATGGAAATACTCTCCCATGGCCGCTCAGGAATGGGTAAAGTTTACAGTAGTCCCACCAGTTTCTTTGCCTCGATTTTATCTTGTTGGCACACAAGACAAGTCTTCAAATAGGCATGCACATCTTCAGTCATGTGTGGCCAATAGTACTACTCTGAAATATTCCTTCATGAGCTCCTTGTGCAGTTTTTCATATCGAGGCAGAAAGAGAGGATGTCATAGATAATAAAGCAACTCCCCCTCGAGCCAAAACTCTTTGGTTTGCCCCTCCTTGGCTCCATCAATGATTATTTCAATAATAGGATCATGGGGTAACCCTTCTTTGATCCTTTCAAGCAAAATACCCTCCATAGTCTCGATGGCATACCTCCGGCTTAAGCCATCTGCAACACAATTCACCTTTAATGGCTTGTACTCCATGAAAAAATCAAACTCGGCAAGAAACTATTGCTAACAAGCCTGCTTGAGAGAAAGCTTCTTTTGGGTGAGAAAATAAATATTTGCAACGTTGTCGGTAAAAACCATAAACCTTGAACCAAGCAAATAATGTCATCTCCTTCTCATAAATCGAGTACCTCCTCTCGGTCTCATTGAGCTTCCAGCTCTCATATGCAACCATATATCCCTCTTGCATAAGGACTCCACCAGAGGTAACATCGGATGCATCGATGAAAACTAGAAAAGGCTTGGTGTAATCTGGCAACACCAATACGGGCTCACTCACCATGGCTTCCTTGATCTTTTTAAAAGCCTCCTGGCACTCCGTGCTCCACTCCCACACCTTGTCCTTCTTGAGCAACTCGGTTGAAGGTGTGTCAATCATGGAATAGCCCTTCACGAACCATCCATACTAGTTGGCTAATCTCAAGAATATTCTCAACTTGGTCACCTTGGTGGGTGGCTTCTACTTATGAATCGCTCAAATCTTGTCCCTATCCATCTAGAGCTTTCCTTTTCTAATGACATGGCCTAAGAACAACACCTCCTTCTGTACAAATGAGCACTTTTACTCTTTGACATAGAGCTCATTCTCCTGTAAGACTTGCAAAACCCTTCTCAAGTACTCATCGTGTTCCTCCAAGGTCTTACTGTACACCACAATGTCATCAAACTAAACTACAACAAAACGATCAAGAAAGGGTTGTAGTACCTTATTCATCAATGTACAGAAGGTAGAAGGGGCATTTGTGAGGCCAAAAGGCATCACTAGAAAATCATACGAATCGTAGCGCGTCACACATTCAGTCTTCGGTTCATCACCCTCGGCTAATCTGACTTGATAATATCCGGACCGTAAATCCAACTTGGTGAACCACCTTACATCACCAAGTTGATCAAACAAGTCAGTAATCAACGGGATCAGGTACTTGTTCTTCACCAAACAAGTTGTTCAAAGCTCGGTAGTCGATGCACATTCGGAGGGATCCATCATGTTTCTTCTAGAATAACACCGGTGCACCAAAGGGTGCCTTCGACAGTCGGATATACCCTACATCTAGGAGCTCTTTCAACTATCTATGAAGTTGTTCTAACTACGATATGGTGCCCTGGCAGGTGGCTCCGTATTTGGCACAAGCTCAATCTTGTGGTCCACTCCTCTCTTCAATGGAAAAAACTTCGGTAACTCAGTTGGCATCACATCCCAAACTCTTCTAATACTTGTCCCACTTTATTTGGGACTTCCTTGGTCATTATGGGCTCAGCTCCCACCAATGAAGCCACAAAAGTTGGTTCCTCCCTGTGCACCCCCTTTAAGAGTTGGCACATGTGTCCACTAGTGCACTCATCTTTTGGATCGCCACGGTGATATCTACATATATCAGTCGCTTCTTCTTGAGACTCTTCTTGATCTCCATGGAACTAATGATGGAACCAAGCTTCAAGGTCTCATTCTCTTCCCCATCAGTCTCCTTGATGGTGGAAACTTTCACAAGCTGAGGATAATCCCTCTTCATGTGATTTCCTCAACAATTGAAGCACGATAAGTTACCATTCTTCTCCCAAGGAATGGAGAGCTTCTTGGGTCGTTCATTTTGCTTCTTATTGCCTCCTAATGGCTTGTGGAAACCTCCTTTGGCCTTCTCTACCCTACCGTTACCTTTTGGTTTTGGCTTTGGTTTGAGAGAGTTGGTATTCTTCACTTCAAACGGGGCAATAGCCTCGGCTGCATCTAATGCTTTGGAGAGTTCACTGTAATACCCCCAAATATCAGGTCAAGGGCTTCATTGAAAAGATTTGAAGATTTAAGATTTTATTTGAATAAGTAGTAAAAGATGAGAAAATGATTTGGAATAGTGTTTAGACTAAATTGTAACAATAAAAAAATTAAGAGGGCACTTTGGTCTTTTAGAGGGAAAATAAATTTAAAATATATCCCTTATTAGGGATTTTAAATAGGGAAAAGAGGAAAGTTAAGATATCTCTATTCTTCTTCTTCTTCTTCACGTGGGTAGTGCTCTCCTCCATTGTATAAGGTAAACTTCAATTAGTTAGTTATTCCTTTAAATTTTGGGTGGCTTTAGTAACATAAAGTAATGTGTAAGCTTAAGGAAGGATTAAAGAAGATTAAAACTATGTGGTGGATGTTTTTATATGATATTTAAGAAAAATGAGTTTTTGAATGATATGTTGATATATGAATTTTTATTGAGGTTTATTAGTAGAATTAACTTGTCAAAGGAGTGAATAAGAGATTAGAAACATTGGATAGGTTTAAAAGCATGTTAGAAAAATTGATATGATTATTGGATTGAGATGGTCCATGGAGAGTTTAGATGTTATAAGAGGCTAAATGAAGGAAAGTTAGTTAGGTTAAAAAAAGAAAAGTTTAATAGTATTGTTGGAGGTAAAAGTAAAAGATTAGAAAGGAAAATTTAGTGAAAATCGAGCTGAAAAATAATAAATTTGGGCAATGGTATCGGTACTGATAGAACAATACCTATACCATAGGTGCAAATGGGTAGAAATGTGACGAACAGTATCGGTAATGATTTAAGCGGTATTGATAATGATGGGGTATCTGTAATAACACGGGGAAGTATCGATACAATCGATAACAGAATGCCAAAATGGTATCGATACCGAAAGGGAGTATCAATACCATAGTGTAGTAGTATCGATACTAAGAGAAAGGTATCAGTACCATAGTATAGAAGTATCGATACCATGGTACTTGTATTGATACTATTGAGCCTGGAACTATAAGATAGATTAGAATTGTGATAGAAATTGAAGTAATGGTACTTTTGAGTATTATTTAAGTATAAATGTTAGAGAATATACTAACATTTGGTGTCATATATGTCTTCAATGGATGCTTGTGTAGATCCTAACCAAGCTCATGAATCTAGCAAGAAAAGGGGGAAAGATAAAATGGTTGATTAGACAAACATCTATACATCTTATTAGCGGGGATTACCAGGTGAGTACATTTATTGTAATTATTTGAGATGAAAAAGATTCACAATGATTCAAATTAGAACGTTTTAGCTAATGTATGTTTTATATTATTTAATATGTTATTAATATATGTATGGAAAGGATATTATGAATGAGTTTTGGTGTATGAACTGCTCTAAAACGAATCCATAAATGAAATGCATGAAATGATGCATTAAGGCATGAAAGGATGCCATAAATGAAATGATGCCATAAATGAAATGCATAAAAGGATACATTAAGGCATGAAAGGATGCCATAAATGAAATGCATGAAAGGATGCATTAAGGCATGAAAGGATGCCATAAATGAAATGAATGAAAAGTTGCATTAAGGTATGAAAGGATGCTATAAATGAAATGCATGAAAGGATGCATTAAGGCATGAAATGATGCCATAAATGAAATGTAATGAATGGATGCATTAAGGCATGAAAGGATGATATAAATGAAATGCATGAAAGGATGTATTAAGACATGAAAGGATACCATAAATGAAATTAACAATAATTATTAAAGAAAAAAAATGTACGACAAAGAAATGTATGTTGGACATACTAAGGAAGTTTATGATAATAGTATGAAAGAAGTTTGGTTGTAATAATAGAGAATTATCTAATCCTTACGGATGATACAAATTAGTTCAAAATCAAATAAACTTGATATCCTAAAGTATACATTATTGTTTCTTTATAATATTATGTCTCATTAAGTACCTACTTAACGTATGTTGATTTCATGCGTAGGTAAAGGCAGAGATTAGCTGAGTAGGGACTGCAGCTGTAGCAACGGTGGTCATCAATTAAGGTTAACTCATTAGTGACAATAGGATAATCCAATTTATTTTGGAAAATTTATTTGGCATGTAATTAAAGTACTAAAAATGCTCTGAATTTTTAATTAAGTAGAAATTTGTAACATATTACAATCAATGTTTTGTTGTATCTTTAAAATGTTATGTTTTAAGAAATCGAAAAAAAAAATTATGGGTTTACAAATGAGGAATTGTTTTATAAAGTGATATGACATATGTACCTCGGGTACGAAAAGGTATACGGGAGATAGCTGTTACATTTATTGGTATCAAAAAAGGGATTGCATGCCATAAAGATTGTCAATGTTACTGGTATGGTGTCATTAGAGTGAAATTGATGACACTCCTTACTAATTGTAATATTATTATTATGTATATCGTAATAGATGTTGGAATCTTTGAATTCGCGAAGAGCTGGGGAACAAGAGATACAAGAAAGAACTGGTAGTGAAAGTTATGAGGCTAATAGTGAACAACCTCTCCCCTCTGAAAATGTTAGTGCACCTGCACCTCAGAGGATTCTGGTGCCTGAGTTTGGAACTTTTATGCAAGCCCTTGATGCTATATTAACTCTATTTCAACCTCCCCTACTGCTCTAGCACCGAGAATGTTGATCCCAAAAGAGCTGAAGAGCTTGGGAGCTCCAGATATTCGGGGAGAAGAGGGTGATGGTCCCATAGAGGCCGAATTATGGCTAAATGATGTTATAATAATGCTCGAAAGTCTTTAATGCTTGGATCCGGAAAAGTTGAATGGAGATGTATCTTTACTTAGAGGATCAGCTCGGGTATGGTGGTCAAATACTATAATGTATGCACATACTATAAAGTATGTGGGTGAATAGTTCAGACGGGCAATGCTATTAAAGTTCCTTAATATGAAGCAAGGTGATCGAGCCGTATATGAGTTAGAGGTTGAGTATAATAAGTTGAGCCATTTTGCTATTGAAGTCGTTCCAAATGATTAATTAAGACTTGATTTGTTTATAGAGGGTTTGAGGCCAAATTTGAAAGAGATGATGTTGGTTTTGAACTTGCGAGTTTACAATAAGTCATTAACCGAGCCAAAGTTATTAAAAGAGCTCAGGATGAGACTTTAGCTACAGAGTAGAGTTTACAGATGGGGAAAAGAGTGGGAATGCCTTCAATTCCCCATCATGTTGAAAGAGGCAAGGGCCTGTTCCAGATATACTGATAGAGATAGTTCTGCAGCAGCTTCACAGAAAAATAGATAATCTCCGTCTTTTGCTGCTAGCTCGGGTAGAGTATCTAGGGAAATAATTTCATGTCAAACATGTGGAAAATTTCATAATGGAGCATGCATACTTCTCAGTGGAGCTTATTTCCAATGTGGCGAGACTGGTCTTTTTGTTTAAAATTCTCCTAAGAAATATGGGGACAATTCGACACAATCTAAAAGATTGTTGGCAGCCTCAAATAGAAGCAGATGAAGGGGTAGATCCAGGGGATAATCAGATTCAATGTAGAGACAAGAGACTCGGGGAGTCGTTAGAATTTACAATATTAAGACTAATGAGGATTGGGATAACCCTGAAATCATAACAGATATTTTCCATCTTTTTATGGAGACTGTATTTGTTTTAGTTGATCCTGGTTCTACAAACTCATACATCGGTACAAAATTGGTTAGAGCTAGAGGAATTTCTTTAGAACCAATTTTTAGTGAGATGATAGCAGTAAACCCTATGGGTCACAATACGAGAGTAACTCGAGTATGTAGAAAATCCCTATAAAGATCCAAGGGATTATTTTCTCAACAAGCTTGATGGAGTTACCCTTCGATGAATTTGAAATCATTTTAGGCATGGATTGGGTGTCTTCACATTATAGATGGGTTGATTGTTGTAAGAAACGCTTGTTTCCAAAAGATGCAAAAGGTTCAGAAATCGTAATGATCGGCGAAAAAATGAAATCACCATCAAATGTGATATCAACTATGACTACAAAAAAATGATGTCAAATAGATGTATAGCTTTTCTAGCCAATGTGATAGATACTCGAATATCAGAAGTTAGAGTAAATGATATTCCCACGGTTAGAGAATTTCCATACGTTTTTCCCGAGGAGTTACCAGGATTACCCCCAGATCGTGAGGTATAATTTGGGATTAAGGTTTATCAGGGTACCAAACCTGTTTCTATGGCTCCATATAGGATGACTCTGACTGAATTAAGAGAATTAAAAGCCCAACTGAAAGAGTTACTCAATAAGGGATTTGTAAGACCCAGTGTTTCTCCTTGGGGAGCACCTGTACTGTTTGTGAAAAAGAATGACACGTCTATTCTATTACATATCGATTACGTTAAATAAAGTAACAATAAAGAACAATTATCCTCTTCCGAGGATTGATGATCTGTTTGATCAATTGAAAGAAGCAGTGGTGTTTTCTAAGATATATCTAAAGTTGGGATACCATCAGCTAAAGATCAAAGAGGATGATATTTCAAAGACAACTTTTCAGACTCGGTATGGGAACTATGAATTTGTAGTGATACCTTTTGGTTTGACTAATGCACCTGTAGCATTCATGGACTTAATTAACCGAGTGTTTCAACCTTACTTGGATCAATTCGTGGTTGTATTTATAGATGATATTCTGGTATATTCCAAGTTAAGAGAGGAACATGATGCTCATCTTCAAGTAGTTCTTCAGACACTTCACAAGAAGAAGTTGTATGTCAAAT